GATACAATATATTTGGATTCATTTTGAAAGTTATCTTATTACCAAAAAACTGCCACTTCATGACAAGTTTAGCCCTTGATACCAACGTGTGACAACAAAAAAGCAATTTCAGTATCACACATATGATCAGAAAAACCAGAAACTAAAAGATATTTAATGAAAACAAAAACGTGTGGATGCAAACAGCAACCTGAAAGGGCTGACAATGATTTTTGCTAGGAGCACTTACCAAGTGTATCTTTGCTACCAAGAGAGTGAGAATAAAATTTACTTTGTTCACTTTTCAAGCTGATCTGATAAGCAACAAATTCAAGTTACATAAAATGTTTGTCTTAAAATTTAAAAATACAATCAATTTTGATTAAGGGGGAAAAACTGGGCTCAATTCTTGTACAGAAATAGCCAAGTCACTTCCCTTGTCATTTGCAAATCATCGCAAAGTACACTACCATAGCTACTTACCTCTGTGCAGTCATTCAAAAGGGGCACTGTGGTGTCACTAGGGTTAATATTGATTGTCTTTAGTTCAATTAGATTATTTAGGGAATTTCCACCTAGGAAAAAAAAAGGATAAAGGAATCAAACAAAGGAGTTTCTATTACATGATAGAAGATACTTCTTTTTGAGTAAACTAATTCAATTACCTGACACTACAACCAGGGAAGGCATGTAGCTGCTGTCAGCAGGATCTACTATCATTTTTAATCTATGAACGAGAACATCTGGGAAAATCTCCAAACGAATCCAATGCTTAAAAAAAAAAAAAAAACACATTTTCAGTTAGCAAAATTCAGCTATATTTTAGCTACCACAATAGTATCACTGAAGCTTGAATTTACATGAGTTTTTTAAATATAAAATGTGGCATGAAAGAGAGAGAATTTTCCCTAAGCCTGGCAGAAACAAGAATATTCTACCCCACTATATTTGCTCATTAGAGGACAGTCTCACTATAAGCCCCAGAAACAATGTATTTATAGACTCCTAACCTAGGGTGGTCCCTTTATACCCATCAAGGAGTAGGTGGTGGAAAACACTAGAATTGAGATGGAGAAAAGCCCCCTGTCTCCGAGTCTGAACTGTGTGCCCACATGAGGAACACTCATGCATCAGTGTGATCACAACAGCACTCCAAAGCTCAACATGTATTTGTTGGGCTACATTAGGAAATCTTCTAACCAGAAGCAAAATCTGAATTCATACATTTTATGCAGGAGAGAAAAAAAAAAAAACATAAAAACCACTATATCCTCTATTAATTGGTCAGTTAGATAAAATCTATTACTCATATTGTTTAAAATCTCTGACAATAAAAACCAGGGCAGGAGAGGTGGCTCACACCTGTAATCCTAGCACTCTGGGAGGCTGAGGCAGGAGGATTGCCTGAGCCCGGGAGTTTGAGGTGGTTGTGAGCTAGACTGACGCCACGGCACTCTAGCCTAGGAAACAGAGTGAGACTCGATCTCAAAAAAAAAAGTTTTTTTAAAAAGTAAAAAGTTTATAAAGTAAAAAATGTACAGTAATCTAAACTTATTATTGAAAAAAGAAAAATTTTTTTGTAAATTTAGTGTATCTTAAGCACACAGTAATATTCTAGGCCTTTACTCACCACTCACTCAATGACTCACCCAGAGCAACTTCCAGTCCTGCAAACTCCATTCATGATAAACGCCTTATAGAGGTGTACCATTTTTTACCTTTTATACTGTATTTTCACTGTACCTTTTCTTTGTTTAGATATGCTTAGATACATAAATAGTTACCATTGTGTTATAGTTGCCTACAGTATTCAGTATAGTAACATGCTCTACAGGTTTGTAGCTTAGGAGCAACAGGCTATATCATATAGCTTAGGTGTAGTAGGCTGTACCATCTAGGCTTATGTGAGCACACTCTATGATGTTCCTATAACATATTGCCTAATGACACATTTCTCAGAACTTATCCCTGTCGTTAAGCAACACACGACTGTACTGTTAATCTGTATGGTTATATTAACCAAAGGAGTTCTTACCTCTTAGAGATACATACTAAAGTATTTTAAGGATGAAATGATATACTGAGATTTATTTTATAATAAACCAGGATTGGGGGTGGAGAAAATAAAAAGAAAAACACCTAGGCAACTGTTGGTAACTTTTGAAGCTGGTACCAGGGACATAAGGGCTCATGATCCTTTTCATTTTACTTGGGTATGTTTGAACATTTCCATAAAAGAAGGTCAAAAATAAAACACAGTCGGATCTCCATAACATGGGTTCCATATCTGTGGATTCGACCAACTGTGGATGGAAAATATTTTTTTTAAAAAATTGCATCTCAGCTGGGCGAGGTGGCTCAAGCCTGTAATCCCAGCACTTTGGGAGGACAAGGGAGGAGGATTGCTTGAGGCCAGGAGTTAAAGACCAGCCTGGGCAACAGAGCAAGACTTTGTTTCAACAACAAAAAATCTGCATCTGCACTAAATATGTACAGACTTTTTTCCTTGCCATTATTCCCTAAACAATACAGCATAACAACTATTTGCATAGCATTTATTGTATTCAGTATTATAAGTAATGTAGAGATATTATTATTATAAAGTATTTGAGAGAATGTGCTTAGGTTATATGCAAATACTACACCATTTTGTATCAGGGACTTGAGCATCTGTGGACTCTGGTATCCAAAGGAGGTCCTGGAACAATCCCCCATGGATACCGAGGGATGACTATACACATAGCGTAAAGATAAAAGCAAACATCTGGTAAACTATATTTTGTTTCAAGACATGCCATGCTCATTCTCTGTGATTCTGACTCTGACATCTCTTAAGAATTATGTGCTTAAATTTCACGTTGTAGATAGGTATAATTTAATTTCAAATTCTTAGGGCCCTTTGTCTAAGAAACCTTTATGATTCCATGTGTCAGAAATTATCAGGCTATCACTACTGCAGTGGAAGAAAGCATTTTCATCACAATAGTGGAGCACTGACTGCTCTTTACATGAAAACTGCATGTTCAACAGTGAGCAAGGTCATGGGCTCCTAGCAAGGGCCCACACCTCAGGGACCCTGGACAGCCCTGCACTGTCCCAGTTTACTGCCCACTGCCCACTTCCAAATGGAGCTCAGACACCTCAAAACACAAATGTAATTTAAGGCCATTCAAATAAAGATCAGAATTAACTGCACCTAGAAAGGAGAGAGTTCAAATATGAATTCTACCTTTATTTGTTACTTTCTCAGCAATGCAAGCAACAAGGGAACTTAGAGGGGCGATGTCTCACAAAATACTAAAAGAAAGCAGAAGTGTTCATCTGAAGAGAGAAACTGTCTCTGGGCACTACATTTTGGAGGAATTTATTCTATAGCTCCTCATACAAGAGATACTCTGTAATATAAGGGACACTGAACTCTAGTTGTTATATCTACTCTTTAAAGACTCTGGTCTTCTTCTCTTAAGCAACTCAAAATACAAATTAACCTTTCATCCAATTCCTGACAGGATTAAGTGCACTGTGAGCTGTGACAAACACAGCCTTCTGTACAGAATTTCAAGACATATTAACACAGAGAATGAGAACATGAGGGTCTCCACCCACAAGCCTCTCAACAGTAAGTGTGTGTGTGCATGTGTGTGTGTGTATACACGCACGTTTGTGTTATGCTCGCTTCTCTGTGCTCACAAAGCATTTGCTCTCTACAGAAGCTGTTTCACACGAAGTACCTCAGGCACCAAATCCTAGAGGACAAAAATCACATCTTTTTCATTTCCGTATCATTATGGCATTTTTTACACATTACTTTGTTCATGGTAAGCAAACATATTTCTTGTATTGAAGGCAAGTTAAGTATATTTATAGTCTACAATTTTCATCTATGCATTTGTCAAATCTTTTCAAAAGTTTATTTTCTAGTTTATAAGACAGCAATAACACAACTCTATCTAACGTGCGCTATTTTCCAAGGACAGAGGCTCTCCTCAGAAACTAACTTTGATAATGTCTATTGGTTCGTCTTAAGAATTACTTCAACAAGTTAATTTAAAAACAACATATAGAAGGTAAAATGATTATAAAAACTTCAAAAGAGTTGTGTCTGTGTGGAGCCTGTCATGGGCAGAGGAACCAGCGAGCCAACCCCCTGTCCTGCAGCAGCAGGCCATACCTTGGAGCCTTTCAGCCCGCCCAGCTGGTCCTTGTCATTTAGTCCCCACACAAACACTTTGGTTCTTATCGTAGCTGCCGATTCCAGCCCTGCAGCCTTCTTTCTGATAAGGCTAGCCAAAGGGAAAACAAAGAGGAAAATAGAGGTTATTCAGCATAAAACATTTAAAAAAGAAAAGAAAAGCAAGCTCAAGCACTGGAAGCTTGCTGGGCACTTTCAGAAACACTCAACTAAAATTTACCAATTATTCTTGTGGACATAAAACTACTTTCATTATGAGATATACTCTAATTATTTACTTCTGAAAGTGAGAATTCTGAAGTAAGGCAGAAGATAACTAAGCACCAATAACAAACAGCTCTTACCTTCCACTGTTGCCTTTATCATCTTCTTCCTCCTCATTATCGGAAGCTAGGAAAGGGACTGCGGCCAAATCCTCCTCCTCTGCACGGATCCGTCCCAGCAGGATGAGACCATGGATTTTACAATCGATCCCTGAGCTCCTGCACTGCTTTATGGCAATTTCAATATACCTGTGATACTAGATGCAAAAACAATGAGCTATAGGCTTTTTAGAATCAAACACATTAAATACTTTAACTGGAGAGTAGGACATTTTAGACATGGAAATGTGTGGAAAGTTAGAGCTTCTTGACTTAAGTTCTGGAAATACCAACTGAGTTAGTCAAAGTTAATGCAGCTACATCTGAGTAAGGTTTGCTTTCAAATGTGTCTACCCTGAGACTGAGGTTAAATGTCAGGTACTCACAAAGCTTCATAATTTTTAAAATATATAAAGTATTTGAATACACATAAATTAATGAAGAGTAGTACAAAGAACTCCATGACCCCATCACCCAGACCAATCTTGTTCATACATGGATTATCACAAGAAAATTCCAGGCATTATGTTGTTTCAAAACTTTAGCATGTATCACTGAATTCAGGAGTTTTTGAAAACATATCCACATTATTATCATAGCTCAAACAATAATTCCTAAATCATCTAATATGATACAGTGATCATATTCTGATCTACTCTTCTAATAATCTCACAAATGTAATTTTATTGTTGGCTTGTTGAAATCAGGATACAAACAAGATCCAATTGTTACTCCTTTTCCATTCATTTGTTGTAACTCAGTCTATTTGTCCTGCGAATGCCTCCCACCCTGTTACGTAGCAGACTGTATTTGTCATGGCATTAACAATATTCTTCTATTCCTGTATTTCATGTGAACAAAAACTGATGCAGCAGGAAGCACGCAACACTAACGATTACTTTTTATTGTCTAAACTGGACCTGATCAAACCTCAAGATCTACCTATTTCATAAGAAATACAAATTGAACAACATCATGAGGATGTAAAAACACCAAGTTGAGAATATGAAGAATGCTACAGGAAAACATTACCCAGTTTTTTTCTTAGCAAAGAAAAACCAAGAGAATTAAGATAAATGAAGTGCAAAGCGCACACACAATCTGAATCATGAGTCATGTAAACTGCAGAAGAATATTTATGGGATAATTGGGAAAATTTGAACACTGGATGTTATATGATATTAAAGAATGATTATTAGATGTGATAATGGTATTGGGTTATATAATTTTTAAAGTCCTGTTAGAAATGACTAATGATGTAAGTACTATTGAGATAAGATCATGTCTAGGACTTGCTAAGGACGGAAATGAGGTGGGAGAGAGGGAGTGAAAATGCAAAAAGTTGAGAAATGTTGAAGCTGGGTGACAGGTTCATGGGGTTTCAGTATACTTTCAATTTTTGGTTATATGTTAGAGAATTCCCATAACAAACCACTGTATATAGGAAAGGCCATGCTAAAGATCCCTGTAGCTCCACAAGAATGGTATACTCCAGTTCGTCAGTTGGTTGGGGGGATGATGGTTAGGTCATGAGTATTCCATTTACTCACAATGCTTCATATTTCTCACAGACAACATATACTATTTTGTACTTATTGAATATTACAGAATAAATTGTTTTGAATTGAACATTTCTCATATTAAAGGTATCTTTTATAACTGATAATCTTAGCTGTTGATTTAATTAATTGTGTACTTATTGATTTGATTAAAATACAAGAATACTCTGGGCTATAACTAACACATGCTACAAGCTGTATTCAGTTACTCAGCAATAGGTTAACAGTAAAATATACTAAAATTCATTATTGTTTTTTCTCAGAAAAACTCAATATCACCTTTCTTTTTTATAATTTGCCAATTTATTCATTTATTATCACCATTGGTATTATTAATTAATCAGTATATCACAAAACAATTCAATGGCATGCCAGAATAAATGGTGACTATAGTGAATAATAATGTATTATACATTTCAAAATGGTAAAAAGAAAGAATTTTAAATGTTCTCACCAAAAAGAAATGATAAATATTGAGGTGACAAATATGTTTTTAGCCTGATTTGATCATTCCACGAAGTATACATGTAAAAGAAATCACATTTTACCCCCAAAATATATAGAATTATGATTTGTCAATTAAAAATAAAACTTTAAAAAAAGAATGGTAAACTGCATTTAGTAATTTAAAAACACCTCATCTGTACTAAACTTTAGATGAATAAAAAAATCAAATACTTGATATTTTTATTTATCATCACTATACCAATTAAACTAGTCCTCACAAAAGGATAGGTAGTACAGAAAACTACCTTAATTGGTCTTATT